CCGCGCTGGAGGCCATGGCTGGGGAGGCGGCAGGGTCAGGCCACCGGCCCCGGTCCCCCCTGCCCCATGGTCACCGCTGGCCTCTGCCCTCCTCCCCAGGGCCCAGCCACCTCCCCTGAACGGCATGACCCCAGGGCTGGGGCGCCCGAGGACACCCCGAATTGTGGGATGGGCACAGGGCTGGTGCAAGGGACACGTGTGTGAGACTGTGGGGACATGTCTCTACACACGTGCGCACAGTTGTGACTATGTGGACACGTGCGTAGGAGCAGGCAGATGTGTAGGTAGGTGGCTGTGACCATGCTGACACATGTGTGTGTGGGGCCACGTGCATGTGTGCATACCTGCAAGCGTGCGTGCCGGTGCACGGCCATGCAGTTGCGTGCGTGTGGGCATATCTGGACAGACCCACGTATTTGTGAGTGTGTGAGTGCATCCAGGCAAGCCCAGGTCTCCGCATGTTGACCATGTGCCGGTGCACGGCCATGCAGCTGCGTGCTTGTGGGCATATCTGGACAGACGTACCCACGTATTTGTGAGTGTGCGAGCGCATCCAGGCAAGCCCAGGTCTCCGCATCGTGCCGGTGCACGGCCATGCAGTTGCGTGCGTGTGGGCATATCTGGACAGACCCACGTATTTGTGAGTGTGTGAGTGCATCCAGGCAAGCCCAGGTCTCCGCATGTGCACGTGTGGGAGGCAGAGCACGTATATGGCCGGGCACACATGTGCATGCACAGACTTGGGGGCCCAGGGGTAGCTCTGCTGAAGCTGGGTCCCTCCCTCTGCCCCCTTCCAGTGGCTGAAACTCCCAATCCCTATGTTTTTTCCCCCAAGAGAACTGCAAAGCCAGGGCTGACCCTCCCCACGGGCACACACTTGCCCCGGCACCCCTGGAACAGGAGGACGAGGGGCACCCAGGCCTGGGTGCTGCTCAGCTTCCCCAACAGACCCATCCGCCACGCGCGACGTGCTCGGGAAGATCAGGTTAATCATTTTGGGTGGTTAACATGGTGGGGGCAGGGGCAGCTACTGTTGGCCGGCCCCGAGAAGGGGACTCAGCCCTGGTCTACCAGGAACGCGCCAGTTATCAGGGACGGTTTGATACCCCAGACCCAACCAGCTGGCCAACGGACCAGGTGACCAACCAGCTGGCTGACCAACTGGCCAACTAGTTGACCAACCCCACCCAACTAGTCAACCAGCCGAATCAATCAACTGACCAACCAACAGACCAAATGGCCAATCAGCCAGCCAGCCAATTGATTGACTAACTGACTGACCAATCAACCAACCTACTGACCGACTGACCGACCAACCAACCGCCCAACTGACTGATCGAATGACCAACCGGCCACCCAATCAATTATCAAACTACCACCCAACCACCCAATCCACCACCCCTCTGAGCCTCCCAACCTATTGACCACCCACCCAAAGAGCCCTTCAAGCCCAGTTTGGGAACATGACATTTGCCCAGCCGTCCCCAGGACGGGGGTTCATCGCTCCTCGTCACGCTCGCTCTCTCCTGCCAGCAAGCCCCATCGGCCCCGGGGCTGACGGAGCGGCTCGAGTGCCCAGCGGTGAGTGCTGGCAGCCAGGACCTACCTGTGCTAGATCCCAGCTCTAGCGGAGCAGGGTCTGTGGGTCCGTCCCGTCCTTCGAACCCCCTTGGCACGCAGAGGGAGCGGGCCGGACACCGAAGCCAGCCTCCTCCTCCTCCGCGGTGCCCTGACCCAAGTGGCAAAGTTTAAACTCCAACCACACAGAAATAGCATCAAGGATTGCAAAATCACCCGGGCCCTGATTGGGGATCAGCGCTGAGTGATGGCCGGGCTGCCAGGAAGGACCTGCGCCGCTCCGTAATTCATTAGCTAAATGTTTTTGTCCTCCTCCGCTAAGGGGGGGCAGGAGGGGCCAGGGCTGGTGGGGAAAAGCCCCGGCTGCCGCAGCTGCCAATGAACTTTCACCCATTTCGGGCCCAATTTCCCTTTTTTTAGATCAGCGTATCAGCATTAATTGCGTTATATAGGTGTTGAGAACAACATCCGGGGAAAATGTTGACTTGGACTCTGCTACTTATCTTGTGCTCAACAAATGTTGACCCCTTCTGGTCCCGGGGACCAGGGTGAGAGCTGCTGGGCTGGACGCCTGGGTGCTGCCACCCAGGCCGGTGCTCCCACGAGGGCTAGCCCCTGCCCTCCGTGCCTCAGTTTCCCTGCTAAGGGTTGGAGTTTGTTGGTTGCTGCTTTCCCACGTTTCCCTCTCCCTGTGGTGAGGGCGTCAGCCCGGAGGCACGTCAGCCACAGCACCCTCCACGCCATGACCCCAAACTCCAGTGGGATGGAAAAAACCCCGGGCCTGACGTCCCGGAAAGGCACCTGCGCTCGGACAGCCCCCTTGGGGGATTTAACATCATGACACAGATTTACACGGGCCTGGGCATCCTCCTTCCTTACCCAGACTGGGTCCACTTGGCCTCCAGACCCCCACCTAGATGCCACCAGAGCTCCTTTGTGCCACAGAGCTCCCTCATTGCCTTGCCAGACCAGCATTTTGGAGACTCATGGTCCGATCCTGCTCTCCGTCGGTAGGTATAACCCCACCCCGAGACCCCTCTCCATGGGGAGAAACACCCTTGAGGAGGGAAGAGCCAGCCACGGCCTGAGCTGGGCCAGGCAGTGCAGCCGGGCCACGGCGCAGGGAAGGGAAGGGTTTGGCCTCTCGCAGCTCCCCGTGTGGCAGCCCAGCGGCGAACCGGGAGCCCCGGTGAGTAAGAAAGCGTGTGACCGAGGTGTGGCAAGCGGGACGGCGAGGACAAGGCCGTGCGCCTGGCACCCGCCCGCTGCCCGCGGCCGTTATCTC